ATGTTTTTGAGAATGGAGAGTTTTTTGAATAATTGTTTAGGGTGTTGGAATGGGGTGATGGTTATTACAATGGTGATATTAAGACGAGAAAAACAGTTCAGGCGGCTGAATTGGATGCTGATCAGCTCGGATTGCAAAGAAGCGAACAATTAAGAGAACTTTACGAGTCTTTATCCCTTGGTGAAACTAACCCTCAAGCTAAAAGACCTACAGCTGCATTATCCCCTGAAGATCTAACTGATGCTGAGTGGTATTTCTTGGTTTGCATGTCCTTCGTGTTCAATTTCGACCAAGGGTAATAATATCTTCCTCTCGATGGAACAATTATGATGGTTATTTTTCTTTTTACTGTTTTCTTTTCAACTTTGGATTTACGATGTATGGTTTAACAGTTTCGCATAATCGTTTTGTAGTAGCTGAGTTTGATAGATTGAACATAGTTCAGTTTTGCTTTCAAGTCTTCTTTACCAAAAACAGGCGTGGCATGTTTGGCGTCCTTGATAATCTACGGCCATTGTTTGTAAGAATTAGAAAAATGTAACCTCTTTTTTGTTTCTTCGGCTTCAATATGTCATTTGTTGTCTGCTTTGTGCATGTGGTCATCAATTCTTGACCACCTACCTGCTGGGACCATCTCTTGCTGCATTCAGAAAAAAATAAAAAAGAACAAAAAAATAAAAAAAAAAAAATCTAAGATTGTTTCAATTCGGTTTTTATGAAATATGGCAGCTCCACGTAGATTGTCGAATGCTTGTATTTTTATGCATATATTCTAACACAAAAAGAAACTCAAGAAGAACAGGGAAAGGGATTACTGATTGTATCGATTTATTTAAATTGTTAAAAAGGTTGCCCGGAAGGACACTAGCGAATAATCAAGCAATATGGCTGTGCAATGCTCACGTTGCGGACACGAAAATTTTCTCACGCTCGTTGCTTGCAAAGGTAAGTCAGTTACTTTTGTAAGAATGAAATCAATCATATCAATTTACACAAAGCCCACAAAAAAAAAAAAAAAATGTTTATTTTCATTTTCAAGGACTATTTCAAGATTCTGACATCTTGTTTATTCACTTCTGCATTTCACGACTGGGGCCCGGCTTGTGTTATTTCCAGAGTGCATCCATCCAGGTACTTAATTTTGTCTGAACCCAAAAACCATCTCAAGATTGGTTCATGTCATGCTTCGACAAATTTGAGTGGACAACAATTTTTTATTTTTAAGAAAATGGTTTTGAACATAACAATGCCTCATGATCGACTTGCAGACAATAGCGTGCTTTCCACATTTAGGAGGCGTGATTGAGCTGGGAGCAACTGAACTAGTAAGACTCTTTCAGTTACTTACTTCCTCTAAGGCTTAACTGCAAAAACTATCCCTGAAGTTTAGCCTAATTACGTAAAGATCCCTTTTTTTTTCAACTTTAAAATTACTTTCTTCGTATTTGCATCCTTCAACTGTAGTCCCACATATCAAACTCTCCGAATATCCATTTATCATCTTTTCGAGAATTGCAACCTTAAGATAGAAAATGAGTTTACTAGTTCCTTAAACAGGTCCCTGAGGATATGAACCTGATTCAGCATATCAAAACCATGTTCCTCGACTGCCCTTCAACTGTAGTCCCAGATAATCCCTTCTACTTCCCAAATGGTACCAACAATGACCTCACTAATATTCCTGAAGATGGGCTCGACCATCTTCTGGATTGTCCGGATATTGACATTACATCTCCAAACAACTCGTCAAATGAATTTGCCGACAACCTTCTGAGGGACGAATCGAACTTGGTAGAAGGCGAGGCTTCACAAATCCAGAGCTGGCCATTTATGGACGATGCCATCAGCAATTGTCTGAATAACTCGGTAAATTCGAGCGAATGTGTTTCGCAAACACACGAGGATCCAGAGTCGGTGGTCCCGTTTTTAGGTGGGAATAATGAAATGGATGGCTTAATTCAAGAGTTGCAACCGAATAATGACGGGCATTATCATAGTGTGCTCTCGAATCTCTTGAAGAGTTCTCATCAGTTGATTCTTGGGCCTTACTTTAAAAATGGGGGCCGTAAGTCGAGCTTTGTTGGGTGGAAGAAGGATGAGTTGATAATGGCTCGGCCGGCTGAAACTGGGAAATCGCAGAAGTTGCTGAAGAAGGTTCTGTTTGAGGTGGCTAAAATGCATGAAAACTATCGGCTTGAATCCGTTCGGAACAAAAATGCCGACTCACGACCAGAAGTGGAAGAAAATGAAAAAAACCATGTCTTGTCCGAGAGGAAGCGTAGAGAGAAAATAAACGAGAGATTTATGATTCTTGGGTCAATTGTCCCGTCTGGCGGCAAGGTACATAAAATCTCTTAGTTTTATTGTCAAAAGAAATTGACAAGCCCTTGATTACTGATTTCGATTTTGCTTATTGCATAGATTGCATTTCAAAGGGTTTTTTAGTAATTATGTATCATATTTTTCCTTATCTTTTGCTTAATTAATGCAGGTTGACAAAGTATCGATACTTGACCATACAATTCAGTACTTGAGCGAGCTCGAGAGGAAAGTTGAGGAGCTCGAATCTTACAAAGCATCAATGGAGTTGGACTCAACTGCCCAAACTAAACCACAGGATGCGGCAGAGAGGACCTCCGGCAATTACAGCCCCAATAAAGTCACTAATTCTAATAAGAAGTCATCAGCAGTCAAACGGAAGGCTTCTGAAATCGAAAGAACACAAGCCCATGATGATATAACCATTAACGTTATAGACAAGGACGTGCTGATCGAGATGAGGTGTCCTTGGAAAGACTGCGTTTTGGTCGAGATTATGGCAGCTGTTAACAAACTACGGATGGACACGCAAAATGTGCAGTCTTCAAACACCGACGGAATTCTATCTTTGACTATAAAAGCAAAGGTAGATAGATATATCCATATCAAGAATGAGTTTTACCATTTAAAATGCAATGTCTGTGGTTTTCTATTATGATGATACTTATGGGAGAAAAATAAATGTAAATAAGAAAATTTTTACGCTAACAATCGTTGCCAAATTTTGCAGTGCAAGGGATTGCGAGCTACATCAGCAAGTGTGATCAGAGAAGCTCTTCAGAAAATTATCAAAAAATGTTGAAGAAGATAGATGATGAGGATATGTGGATGTGTAACTAATTGTACAAAAAAATTGTATTCAGTAAACTTAGCAAGTCTCATGAATTAATAATGGTACGAGCCACATTTTTTTTTTTTTTTGTTTCATCTTCATTTTATATTTCCATTCTTTTCTCATGATTCAGAAAAGCAAAGCTATCAAGATTAGCTATTGATAGCGGGAAAAATTCAGCCTACTTTCGATTTTCGAACTGTTGGATCAACAAACACCCGTGCACGTTTGTGTTTGATCCGACGGTTCAAATTATCGAACCTTCATAATAGCAGATTATGGCCAAAAGCTCCGGCCGATTAAAAATTTCCCCTTAATTGAACAAATCAAGTCTCAGCTTTTGTTGTGGGAAAACTCATGGTTATGAAAATCGGACCGGAGCGGTCGTTCAACCGGTTGAACGGGGAATCGACCTTCATTCCAGTCTGGTTTGGTAAAATTAAACCGCCTAGCCTTCAAATCGGTCAAAAATTGTTTGAACCTGTCTAAAACCGATTGAACCGATGAACCGAAATTGGTTCGAATGGTTCACCGGTTCAAGCTTTTGAATTTGAAAATTAGTGATTGTGAAGTGGTTTAAACCACACACATTTTTTACTTGTATTTCTAATGTAGGATATGTTCTATTGCTAAAATTATTGGGTCAATATTGGACCTTAGAAGTAATATTGTACTCATTATAAAAATATACTATTTTTTAAAGTGGACTATCAATTGGGTTATAACTACTTCCAATTTATTAAAAAGAAATAAGTAAATTATTGTGGTTTGTTATGTACATTATTTTTATTTTTTACTTATTTAATCAATAATAAAAAATTTAAAATGTAACTTAAAATGAAATTATGGTTGTTTCTATTTTACCTATTATAACTTAAATATAGATTAAATTTCCAAATATAAAAAAAAAAGTTAATAACATTAATCAACAGTGTCGGTTGTATCTATTATTAAATTATTATTTAACGAAATGTCATACATTATAAAATTAATGATAAAAATATATATGATTATATATTATACATATAACATAAATAAAAAATTATATACTAATTAAATCGGTTCGACCACTAATATGATCAGTGAACCATTGAACCAATAGCTCTAACGATTTAATGACTGGAAAACTATTCATCCATCTCAATCAGTAAAAAGAAATATTTTCATGTAATCAAAATAATAAATTTGGAGTAACTATCACCTTATTCAATTTGTCTATATTATTATTGAACGCGTGTTAAAAGCTTAAATATTCTACAAAAGTAGGCAGTGGTGGGTTCCTTTCAGACATGGTGACGTAGCCGCCTTGATCGCATGGAATACTTTTCTTTATTTTATTTACTCGTAATAATTTGTGTTTTTTTTGAGTTGATCACACGTTTTAAGTAGGGCTTGTTTGCATACAAATATATCCATTTAAAATGAATTTTTTATTTAATTATAATTAATTGTAAAATAATTATTATGATTAATTGTTGATGAGATTTCAAATTAATATTGAAATAATATCTAAAATAAAATAATCAAAATTAATTTGATGAAAAGTATGATAAAGACATATATTAAATAATAGTTAATTAAAATTACTGTCTGATGAATAATGAATTAAATAATTTATTGGTATTATTTATATTGATAAATTAGGAATAGTGATGTTGAATTAAAGTTTAGTAATGAAAAAATTGATATACAAAACTTCTTTCCCATACATGCTATTTTTTTTTTCTGTTTTATTTCATTGGAATTAGAGCACGTTTTATGTCTGAATTTAATGTGCTCCAGATTTCCCTATTGAACTGGGCAAGCAAATTTTTTATCAGCTTTAATCATAAACCCTGAATTTTCTCATTCTTTTCAGCAGTTTTTAGTGGACTCCAAGACATAAATGATGTAGGACGTGGATAGAATCCTCTCCAATGATTTGTTTGGAATTTGGAATTTATCATGTGACTAGGATTAGACACGGCCAATACCCGGCCCACCTGGCTCCAAAACACTGACCCGGACCCGGCACGGATCTATACTCAGTGCCGAGACAATGACCCGGTTGACTGGGCTGGGTCCGTTATTTAAAAAAAAAGAAATAAAAATAAAAAAAGCGGCCCGGCCTGGCCAAGCACGCCGGGCCGGGTCATGAAATTGATGACCTTGAAATGACCCGTCTGAAATCCGGTCCGGTCCCGGACCCATGGTCAACGGGTTTGATCGGGCCGGGAGTCCGTCACGTGCAATTCCAAGGGGAGTCATGATCAAAAAGATTTTATGAACTGTAAAGCTGGACATGAAGCTGAGAAGCAGTCCAAACGGGAAATAAAAACTGGTTGCACGGGCATGGAAGCTCTTATACACTATCAATCTATCGTCACCAATTATGCAGATGAATTTGAAGTTAGAGGAATTTCATTGCATCTCACAAAACATGAGAATAAGGATTTAACATTTGCTACGGTTTAAGCCACAGCACGACCAGTGTTCCATAAAAGAAAATCGAACGAAATAGCTACCAAATTCAAGTATCATAATGATTAAACATACCCTTGTTTCGATTATCAGCAGAATCCAATGTGAATATATGCAAGAGCCATCTGTTTTGTTCCTTGAGTACAGAGCCACGATATACCCATTCCCAGGGAGAAAGGCTCAATTCTTCTCATCATGATAAGAATTTGGTATTTCATATGATTTCCACTCCAAACTCCTCAAGGTATAAGCTTAACTGACCTAACTTTATTCCCACTCAATAGTCGATGGAGGTTTAGAAGTGATGTCCAGAAGAACTCGATTTACACCAGCAACTTCGTTGCAAATTTTTGTGGATAGGTCGGCCAAAAACTTGTGATCAAAGTAATACCTGATCATGAGCACATAAAGACACAATAAGCAACTAACTGCACACCCGACATATCACAGCACAAAGGAAGGAAAAACACAAACTGAAAACCATAACATAGTAATAAAAATAATAAATAGGAGGGAAAAATATAATGTACCAATCTGCAGTCATTCCATCTTGACTCGTGACAGCTCTAAGAGTAATGGCATAACTGTGAGTTCTCTGGTCCCCTTGAACACCAACAGTTAGCACCGGCATGAAAACAGCAAAAGCTTGCCATATAGAGTCGTAAATCCCAGCATCCTTGATAGCTTGAATGAAAATCTCATCGGCCTAATTTAACCCAAAAAAATTAATAAAGAGAACAGAAAAGATCAGCTAGACTCCCATAATTCACGTACATGACACAATTATTATAAACAACTTGTAGCATCACAATACCCGCGAAATACATGTGTTAATTAATTAAGAAATCTATACTTCCAAATTTAAAAAAAAAAAAACAAAATTTAATTTAAAAATTTAAATAATTCTAAAAACATCACATTATTTTTTTTATTTACGACGACACACATCACATGTAAAACTCGATCTTTTGATATTACAATATTTTTCATACCCATACCATATAATTATCATTATAGATAAATTTATTCTATTTCAACTAGGATTATCATCAAAAGATGATTACTTTTGATATATCATATATGAAAAACTGATAATAAGTATAAAAGTTATTAAGTTTTAAAATATATTTGTACTTCAATTTAGCAACACCTTTTATAACTTTGAAAGTACTAATAAAGCCTGAATAAAAGTCCAAATCTAATAGATTACTCGGAAACACAAAGAATTGATATATAGGATTGCAAAGTACCAGAAATTGACGCATTAATTTATGAAACTCCAAAAGATTACTAAACTTTGTATTTATGTATAGGGAGAGATACCTTGCGCAGGATGTCAAGACGATTTCCCAAAGTAACATCACCAGGAACACGTACTGCAAGGCCAGGCCCAGGGAAAGGGTGGCGCTTCAAGAACCCTTGTGGGACCCCCATAATCCTTCCAAGTTCACGAACCTTGAAAATCAAAACAACACAATAATATATCTTTCAAGATGGATGCAGTCCAAAGATGAAATTCACTAGAAGAACAGTAGAAAACCTGGAAAAACTTAATACCTCATCCTTAAATAGAAGTTTGAGTGGTTCAATAAGCTTCAGTTTCATATCCTTGGGGAGACCCCCAACATTATGGTGGCTTTTTATCGTGTGAGAGTGTGTCCTTCCGCTTCCAGGTGGTGGACAGGATTCAATCACATCAGGGTATAAGGTTCCTTGAACCAAATAAGCAGGCTTTTTCCCCAATTTTCCCTCTAAATCATGGGCAAAAGCGTCAAAAATATTGATGAATTCATTTCCAATTATTTTTCGCTTCTTTTCGGGTTCCGTGACACCCTTCAGCTTGCTTAAAAATTGGTCCACAGCATCAACGCAGGTAACGGGTAGATGAAGATCCCTCTCGAATGTCTCCATGACCCTCTCCCTCTCTTGCCACCTTTTAATGAAACAAATACAGAAAAGATCGTGAAAGGAAAAGAAAAGGAGGAACAGTAATCAGATTCCTCTACGGGTACACAATACAAACGCATCAAGTGCAGAACGTGCAATGTCACCTTAATAATCCATTGTCAACAAAAACACAATGAAGCCTGTCTCCAATTGCCTTATGGACAAGGGTAGCCGCAACTGTTGAGTCAACCCCACCAGAAAGCGCACAGATGACATGATCATCAGGCGAAACCGTGGTTTTGATGATTTTCAATTCCTCTTCAAGAACATCTTCCATTTTCCAGCCAGCCGTTATTCCACATAAGTCAAAGAGGAAGTGTTTCAGTGTTTCCATTCCCCCTGGTTGTGAATGGGTTACCTGCAAACGATATAAAAAATTCAGAAATGTTCCCTTTGGGATCTTTGAAATGAGTTCGGGAATACGAGGCTGTCTTCAGTTTCTATACATTTAGCCCACAGTGGAACTGAGTTCTAAAAAGGATATTAAATTCAACATTAATACCCAGCAGCAAATAATATATACAGAATCCATTAACAAGCACAAAAAGATAACTAAATAAGCTCAATGCAGCTCATGTTAACTTCCTTGTTTTCAAATAGACCTATGGTAGACTCATAACGACTTCTAACCCCTCAAACAACACTAGGATGCAAAAAAACATTAGCTCCCAACAGAATCAAAGGCAAATCAACTATAATTACCTTCACTACCCCAAAGGCACCCTAAAGATGTGACTTTTATACTAGAGTACTAGAGTAGTAGAGATAACATCTTCACAGCTTTAAGCACACTAGGTAGACTCAAAAGGGGAAAGCTTGGCAATCACAGTAATCAATTCAGATATACAGACCGTTCGGATTGAAAATATCAGCACCATAACTCCATAACTCTATGAAATTCCACTTTGAACAACGACAACAAAAGTGAAATGCCGAAGCACACGTACCTCGGGATGATACTGCAACCCGTAAAACCCCTTCTCCTGATTTTGAAGGGCCGCGATAGCTCCCTGTTTACTCCTCCCCACCACCTGAAAGCCCTCCGGCAGCCTGACCGCCTCGTCGCCGTGGCTCATCCACACACTCTGCCTGTCCCCAACACTCCTATTCCCAAAAAGCCCCCGTTCGACCTCCACCTCGATCTCCATCCTCCCGTACTCGTGTTTCTCACCGACCCTCACCTCGCCGCCCAATTGCTGCACAATCAGCTGGAGCCCGTAGCATATGCCCAGGACACGGACCCGGTTCGACTCCACGTAGTCAATAAAACCAGGTGCGAAGCAGGGCGCCTCCGTCGTGTGGACACTGTGGGGGCCGCCGGAGAGTATGATCACGCGCGGGTTGAGGTCGGCGATGGCTTTCAAGGGGGAGGTGCCGTTGATGCAGAGGGAGAAGACGTTGAGGGCCCGAATCCGGCGGGTGATGAGGTGGGTGTACTGCGAGCCGAAGTCTAGGATGAGGACCAGGTTTGATTTCACGTCCTGAGCCTCCATTTTTTTCTGGCTTTTTCAGTGGATTTTTTTTGGGGTATCTTGCTGCAGAGAAAATGAAGGGAGGTTTTATACGTGAGAGTTTCAGAGTGGGGGCTAGGGTTTATGTAAATGTAAATGGGGGGTTTTATATGTGGCGGGAAGCACAGTGGACTTTAGTTTTTACAAGTCCACATGATTCATGAATGAAGTCCAACATTTTGGGATGTTCCACTCAGAAATTTGGAGTTATAAAAACATAAAGATATAGCAATCCAATATGAATTATACTAAATTTTTTTCTTCTTTTTATGTGTATTTTTCATTGCATTTAGGTGTTCTTTTATTTTATTTTATTTTATTTCATAATCACGTTACTGTTTTCAAATAATGGTAAGTCCACTTTACATTAATTATCAACACGCCCCCTTGAAATTACAACTATACAATGTGCGTTTATGTTGTCTTATTAAAAACTTTATTTGGAAAAAAACGAGTTAAGGAAAAAAAAATAAGTACATCCGCGCTCTCCTTTGAGTTATCATCTGTGAATATCTCGAAGATGTCTCATTCCAATGTTGTGGACGTCTTTTCGGAATGTTGTAGTTGAGAGCGTCATGCATTATCACTTAATCGGATGTATTAAATCTTGATTTGTTTGTTCTTTCAAGCTCTTGAGTGTATGAGAAGAACTTTGGTAAGATATGTTTAGTTCTGTTACTCTTAATGTATCCTTCTTTGGTTTGAGCGACACTTCATGCATTGTCTTCAAATATTGTCGTCGGATATTTATTATTCGGTAATCCACAAGCTTGTTGAATGTGTTGAGTCATGTTTATGAGCCAGATGATTTCCCTAGATGCTTCATGAAGTGTTTCATCATGGTTTTAAAATGTAGCAACTAGTGTTTGTTTTTTATAACGCCAAGAAAATGCAATTCCATCAATCGTGAAAAGTCTATTTGAGATATTGTCTTATGTGGGTCTGATAAATATCTTGCATTTGCAAAACCAATCATTTCATGTTTTTTATAATTTGAGAAAAATAATTTCATATTGATTGTTCCTTAGAATAACGGAATATATGTTTGATTTCATTCCAATGTCTCCTCGTAGGCGACGAGTTATATCTTGCTAATAAGTTGATAGCGAAAAATATATCTGGTCTGGAGCAATTAGAGATACATAAGAGCTCCTATAGCACTCATATATAGTTCCTCAGGACCAAATATTTATTCATTTTTTTCACAAGGTCTAAATGGATCCTTTTCAACATCTAATGTTCGGTTAACCATGAGAGAACTAAGGAGATTAGCTTTGTCCATACAAATCTTTTAAGTACTCTTTTAGTATAGTTAGATTGATGGACAAACATCTCATTCTGTACATTTTCTATTTGTAAGTAAAGACAATATTTTGGTTTTTCCTAGATCTTTCATTTCAAATTCGCCTTTCAGAAAAGTGGTTGCTTCTATAATTTTATTTGTTGTCCCAATAATATTAAGATCATCAACACAGAATTAGAATTACCACTATAAAATTGGAAAGGGAATCCGGTCAATTTTTTTTACTTAAAAAAAATGAAATTCAAGTTTTGGTAAAAAATAAAAATCATATGAAGAAATTTGCATGGATTTTAAATTAATTTGTATTGAATTGGACTTCATAAGTAATTTACACATGTTTGCCATAAGAATTTTCAAATTGGATAAGAAAAAAAAAATGGAACTCCAAGGGGTTTTTATATTTAAGAAAACTCGATCAATTTGTATTTCTTTCCTAAATATTTGAAAAGAAAATTCGGTCAAATTGTTTAAGAAAATATTAAGTTTGATTATTAAATATTCACATGTGTTTTTTAAAATTGCCACTAATAGTAAGCTAAATATTTTTTTGTCTAACTTACTATAAATGTATTTTCCAACATACTTTTACATTAATTTAAATATAGATATAGATATTATATAGTGCTATCATTTAGACATGTATACATTGTTACCCATTTATAAAAAAATAAACTATGACTAAAAATAGCACCTGGTATCAAAAGACCTCCGACTGGCTAGAATAACTTGGAAACGCATGGATCTCTACCGGTTGAACGTCCTCGAATCTGCATAACTCTCATACCGAAGGGGTCTCCATTGAAGAGCCTTCGATGCTTAAATGAATAAGTGTAGAAAATGGAATGCAGAGAGGAATAATTCTCTATACTTTAGTGTGTATATAAAATATAAGTGTTTTCTAACATACTTCACTCCTTTTATAAGGAAAAGATACCTTAAGGCCCAAGTTGGGCGCGTGAACTTCCCGATAGCGAGCGCGTGAGCTACCACGGTTGTCAGAGTTGTCGGAGCTATCCGGACTGTCAGAGACGGTTATGAGGTGTGGACCACTCGTGTGGTGCCACGTGGTTTTACCCATGTGAGATGTTTAATTCCCCTAAAATTCCTTCTTATCCCTAAGTTCTCCCCATTAGGTGGTGTGACTTGAACTGGATCTCAAATACCTCGAGGTGGGATGTCATCGGTAATGAGATTTGTTGTTCGGCTCACCTGGTCGAGCCTTCGACGAGATTCTCCTTCCATTCGACCTTCGACCAGGCCGTAAGCCTCTATTCGACCTTTTGGTATCTTCTGGCCTCCAGTGTTTTCCCCGACCTGAGTAATCCCCTTTCTCCCTTCGACTGCATGACTATGCTTCGTTTAGTTGCCATACACAATTAATTACAACACTATATAGTGTTTCTTTGTGTTGGATGTCAGTTCTTCCCAAATGGTACTGTTAAATGGTCTAATGGTTAGACAATCATACTCTTTCAACATATTTACATATTTTCACACTGATATACCATACTTATAGCATATTTTTGTTTAAATTGTATTTTAAAGTATGATATTTGAATGTATATATATATATATCTATCTTGGAAGAGCAATAGAGTATAATTGAACAATAAGTTTCATCTATACCTATTTGCACTACAGCACCTTAAACTTAGATGAATGTAAGGGGCACATACATACACATAAAACCAAAAAACACACCTAAAATCTATTTGCACTCAAACTCATATGAATGTAAGGGGCACATAGATATACATAAAACCAAAAAACACCTAAAGATTACTATAAAAATTGTTTAGCTAGAATATACAACCATATTTTATTTATTATTTCAAACCATGTAGATTGGAGAACTAAAACTGTCAAATTCACATTGAACGCTAAAAGGCAAACCAAAATCTGAAACTACAAACATTATGAACAGACACTCTAAGTATAAAACTCCAGCAGAACATCCAGCGTGCATTCCTCCACACACTCATCCGAAATCTCGTTCACGAGCTCTTCAGTATCAACCCGAATGTCGATCCATGATCCACATTTTGCCACATCTTTCGAGACAAGCTGGTCCAATGTCCTTCTCTCGGTCCTCGGAAGCAGAAAAAACTCGGCTCCTTTCATGACCTCATCATGAACAAGCTCTGCCAGTGGCCAGGGTTTGATTTTCGGCTTAACGAACGATGGCCAAGAAGGAGAGCAAAAATGAAATTCGTATATCTCTACTAATATTTCATTTATGCGGTCAAAAAGAAGTTTCAGGTCAAAATAACCGTCGACAGAGGAAAACTCCACTTCATGAAATAAGAACGAATCGAGTATCTCTTCATGTGGGGATGCGATTTCGGATAATTGATCCCAGTCTAAACAAGAAGCTTCTAATACCGAATGTACGTACTGGGAGAGGTGATCTTGTTCTTGCATGCATGAATTTGGTGGGTCGTGTCGGGATGAGTCAAACGAGCATTGGTCAAAGTCGAGACGACGTGGTTTGCATTGATGTCCTGAAAATTGCCCTGAAAATGTAACCGGTGAGGCCATATTCGGGCACGGAGGATAGGGATGTTATTTATTTATTTATTTTTGTGAGCTTACCTGATTGAAGTGTGGTACTTGGGGGACTGTTAGCATCTTCTGTGAAGAACGGGTCGAGTACTGAAACCGGGCTCTGATGTTCACCTTGGAGTTTGATGGTGTTGGCTG